TATATATATATATATATATATATATATATATATATATATATATATATTACAAGAAGTTTTTTTGAAATATTTCAATATTCCAGGTGCATCTCAAAAAATAAATTATTGTGAAAAAGTTAAATATTTTTTGTCAGTCCTTTCAGAAAGTGAAACATATACTGAAAATCTTATTTGCATATCTATCTGTCTGTGTGTCCTGAAGGAAAATACAGTTGTCCTCTCTTTCTTGGTACCTATTAGTTGATTTGGAAACAAGGTTACATTATTAGAAAATTTGAGCAGGTCACAAAAAGACATGTTGCTTCAATGGTCTCCGTCTTGGTTCCGTATATTCCTATAGGATCTGCGCTGCATTCATCCACATGTGCTTATCTTGCGTGAACACATACTGCATCAACCTATGTTCTCAGTGTAGAAAAATCACACAAAATGATGCATCTTAGTCTCTTTATTTAAGAAAAAAATGGGCAGTTCAGTTTTCCACAGACCCAACTTGGTTGACAGCTTATAAATTGGAGTTATGGGAGTGTTTTTCATTGTTTCCCGTAGGGCTAGACTAGAATAACAATTGCACTTCAAAGTCAAGTCTGTATGCAGCTGAGGAAATAAACAAACCCACATTTTCTGCTAGACAAGCTGAGTTTAGCAATGTGTCTCACATCTTTGACCATCCAAAGAAGCCTTTGCACTTGCTGTTTTGACACTTCCCAAACTTGTTTTAAAGCTTGAGTTTCAGTGAGTTTAATCCAAGTCAATTTCAATTTTTATCCTTTCTGCTTAAAAAAAATAAATGCAGCATATATATATATATAAATATATATATATATAAATATAGCAAAAATATGAAACAATTTTTAGACATCAGGTTTACGCGCACGAGTCATTAGTCCCTCAAAGACCCAATCCATTTGTCCCACAGTCCCAGGGCTTCTACTAACCTCAGTCAAACCAGTGACTTTCGGGGCCCAGATCACCTCTACCCTATCTCGACCCCATCTGCTAAATTAATAATCATCGTTCAATTTTACTAAATAGAACAGCAGTCCTCAAGGTTTTTGCAATTAAAGAAAGTAATTTAAGTGATTGTCCAAATGAATACAGGTCCAATTGATTTCATTAAAAAAAAAAAATAATAATTCCAACTGATTCTGATAAACTTGTTCATATTTAATACAATTACAAACAAATACAACTTGTTAAGCTTAACATACTTATAAATTGCTTATTCCTAAACAGTATGTACAGTTTGGTTAATGCAGTAAATTAATAATTAGTCATTTTCCATTCAGCATTCACTTCAACACTCAGAGACTTTCTATTCATACACACACTATTACTATATTAATGATATACTGCTTGCATATAATATCTTTTTTGTTTCACGTTTTTTCATTCTCTCCCTCTTGTCACTCAAATAATTCAAAAATAGGTTGAAGTAAACAAGAAAATCTTTGCAATGATCATAGGCTTGCATTTAAATGTCCTTATCCTGTAGAAATGACAGCCAAAGTAGCTGAGGTGTCACTTTTTTTTTGGCTTAGAAGATTCTCCGCCAACCAATGTTGTGACTCTGACTCATGTTCAGCACCCACTTCGGTTGACAGCATCAAAAGAGAACACGACAAGTTAAGAAGATCTATCTTCCCTGTTTTGTAGCTTCGTCTGAACTGGCTTTAAAGCTACTCAGTATGCAGCTCTTCCTGGTTCTCTGTGACTTTGTTATGTCTATCAGAGAGCACAGTTGTTCCATTTATCTTTATGTCAGGCTTACTCTGCACATGCAGTCCTACTGGTCAGACACATAATCTTACGTACCCTCCACTCAGCTGCTAATCACAAAGTACCGTAGGATTGTATCTGGCATGTAGGATTACACCGGTTTGATAGACATAGTCTTCATTTCTTATCAACTTGTTTGTTGAATCAGTGAAGGGGAAGCCTCTTATGCCTCAACAAATGGGTTTATTACTTGTAATGTACAAGAATGACATCACATAACAGCTCAGGAACAATTAATTTACTTGAGTCATTTGTTTGTTTGTCACGCAGGATTATCTTTTCTTTCTCAGTTTAGGTGAAAATTGAGCGATACTCTCAGCTACACAGCCTTAAGTTCTTATACGTACTTATTAGTTGTTTTTTTTTGTTTTTTTTTGAAAGCCATGTTTGAACATTAGTCGGTCAAATGCAATTTGCTTTCAGACACTTTTCCAAAAAAAGACAAAATAAAACACCCAATTTGCTGCAAAACCCTGTTTTTGTCAAGCTTCACCTTAGCAACTGCTGATAAATCAAAATTGGATACTGCTGCCATAATAGAGTAGATTTCATACAAAGAGATGGAGATCAGTTTGTCAAAGTGGCCGAAGACTGGCTGAGAGATTGTCCCCACCAACACACAAGAGGAGATAAGATACACGGTGTTTGAGCTACAAATGGTGAATAAATGTGTCGCCTGTTAGGTTATAAACGTGTTTGTTGACTCCTGTGTTTGCCTGCTCCCTGCGTTCTTCCAGCCTGGATAAAATTTTGGCTGCCATGACAATTGCTGCAGAGAGGAACAACAAAGAGAGGTTTGCTCCGATTGTGGAGGGACTGGAGAACCACGAGGCCCAGCAGCTCCAGGTGAGTAATTAAAGATGTGCACAACCTTACAAACAAAACATATCCAACGAACTAAACAAAACTTCACAACACACTGTGCTGAATACCAAACAACTGTTGTGATGTGATACATACACTTTTTAAAGCAAGTTTAAGTATGAAATCCCACTCAAACTAAGCAGTGGATCTAAAAAAATCTGAGTGCACACAACACTAAATAGAAAGTTTTGAGCCTTTAGCCCATTATATATCGATCTCTTCAACTGTACTGAGTTTTCTATGGCTTCTGTTTTCAAGTCAACTTATCACAGCCCTTCTAGCACATGACAAGATGTGATCACATGCATATTAAAATGCACTCAATGCTCCATTGCTGCTGTTTTAATCAAATAATACCTGGGTCATTGAGCACCTCTACTGAATTTCTTCTTTCTTCTTGCTAACTCCAAATAATGGATAAAATTAAACAATGAAAAAAGGGGTTGAATTCTTTCTTTATCACATTTCCTCTTCCTCTCTCTGCTTTACTCATCTTTTTCTCACATCTTACAAATACTTCCCCTTGCTTTTTGTCTCCCTGCGTTGCTGTCAAGTTGAGTCTCGGAGGACTCCATGTGAAAGGGCAACAAAGCATCGTACCTCTCCTCATTTTCACTGCTGTTGTTTAGGAGCAGAAAAAATAAAAAAAAGCTATATAACAGCAGCAACAAAAAAACACCACTTAAAACATGCTTTTGTAGAAACCAAAGCAGGGAATTACTTAAGAAATTAGTTTAGCTGCAGGGCTTGAGAAGTCATGAAGGAAAAAAAAACATGAAGGGAAACTGATGAGGCGGGTGGTGGAAGAGAAACAGGTTATTTTTTTTATTAGTAGGCTGTTGTTTTTCCTTTAAATTTTGCCATTAATGAAATGAAGCTCTGCTAATTGTCAAGTAAATTAAAATGCTTTGCTGATGCAGGAGTTTCAAGGAAATTAAAAAGACTGAATCCAAAGCTGGTGATGGCCCACACAACTAGACTTTGCTAATGTGATTAAAACGTGGGTTCAGGGTATACTTGTGCACTGAAAATGAAACAAACTCTGCATTCTAACTTTAAAAATGTCAAGCATTAACACTTTTAATTACTTTGTACGGACACCTCTCCTTCTCCGTGGACGTAATCTAAACCTTCTCTTGAGTTTCTATTGTGTATGGGCTCTAGTAGTTTCAATAAAATGCCAGGTTTCAGCTCACCAATATTTAAATATTTAATTTTCTGAAGCTTTTCTTACTATCAGGAGCCTGCCATGTTTTAGGAAAATAACCCTGTTAGTACATTCTTGAGAATATTTGTGATTCCAGGTTCAAAATATGTATTTTTGGAACATGAGGAAAAAAATATCCAAGGTGAAAAGGCTTAAAGTAAAAACACATATTTTTACCAGCCGTTATGTAACTACTGTCTCATAGATTTTGTACAGTTCGGTTTAGGTTTATTGTCATATTCAGATCAACACAAGGTCAACAATGCAATGATGCTCAGGTCAAGAAGAACCGTCTCGACTCGCCACAAAAACAACAAGAAATACGAAAGCATGCAACAAAAATACAAAAACAAGGCGCCAAAGTGAAAAATAAATACATCTGCAGCATCATGGTCCTATTGGCACCATGGTTCTGTTAGTCATGTGGTTCTATTAGCGACGTGGTCCCATTAGCAGCACGATGATAATAACGACCAGGGCAGCGGACAATGGTTGCCCTCCAGAACTGGGTTCGGCTGATACAGAACATCCAAGGATTCCCCGTTTTCCCAGTTTGAAAAGGATGTAAATAATTTGATATGAAGCTTTTTCCATCCATCCATTATCTTTACCCGCCTCTTCCTTTTTGGGTTGTGGGGGTCACTCTTACACATATCCAGCAGTCACTGTGCGAGAGGCGGGGGGCACCCTGGACAGGTCTCCAGTCCATCACAGGGACACATAGAAACAAACGAGACAACTGACCATTCACTCTTTTACTCACGTCTAGGGACGATTTAGTTACCAATCAGTCTAACATGCATGTTTTTGGTCTGTGGGAGGAAACCGGAGTTCCCGAAGAAAACCCACGCATGCACAGAGAGAACATGCAAACTCCACCCAGAAAGCCCCCTGACCGGGACTGAATCTGTCAACCTTCACGCTGAGAAGCGGCAGCTCTGCCCATCATGCCGCCATATGCAGCTTTTTTTAAACGTTTACTTTAGTTGCCTTTTTTTACTCAAAGTGTGCAAATGTTACTACAATGCAAAAACTCTTAATACACTTAAACACCTGACTCTAATATTAGCTTTTCTTTTCAAGAGTACATTTACATCCAGTAACCTATTATTTAAAACTGTTTATTTCCGTTATGTCAAAAGGAAATGGCATCAAGAGAATGCTTTCTCCTTTCATTTTTTTAATCTTCTCCTGCTTGTTGTAGCACCTAGCAGATACCTTCAGGACCGTTTGCCTGCAAATTGTTTAATGATTCTGTTTATGTCAATAAAGTAACAATACATTGAGCTTTCTATTTATCTTACCATTCAACTTACATTATATTACCAGAGATTTTGGCTCAGTTGTGTTCAAAGTTTAGCAATAAGAGACAGCAGAAACAGGATGCAGAGTTAAAACCCCTAAAAGTTATGACAACACTAAAGAGTCAGTGTTGCAATGACTCTTATTAATAACACACACCAACCGACTGTTTGGGTCAAGGTTTAAGAATGCAGCATTTTACATTAGTCCATGGGAATTCTTCAACCTGTTTATTGATCGTCTGTCAAAGAAAAACTGTCTTAACCACGGCTTGCTCCCTTGAAACACCTTACTTCTCATTTTAATTCATTCGCCATTTCCTCCTGCTGACCCCCTCTCATCCTCCCAGCCACCCACCCAGCACACAAACTCTTTTCCCTCTCTCTTTTACCAATACATCCATTAATAATGCACATCCAGTCAATAAAAACACAAGACTTGGAGTGTCTGTGTTTCATCTGGTCTTTGTCTCTTTCGCTACCTTTTCCTCTTCATTGTTACTATTTCAGTTCTGTATTCTTCAAGAGGGCAAGGAAAGAGAAATGATCATTTTGAAACACACAAGTACAGGACATAAACTAAACATTATAATGAAAATCGTGTACGTGTGTAATGTATATAATAGATGGATAGATAGATGGATGGATTGGATTGATGGACGGACTGACTTTGTTGCCTTGTTTTTAGTATTTTTGTAGTGTTTTTGGGGGGTATGTTTTTAGTATTTTTGAAGTGTTTTTAGTATGTTTTTAGTATTTTAGTAGTTTTTTTAGTATCCAATAATTCTCAGTCAGGTCATCTGGACAGTGTCTTTTTTATAGAAACGTTTC